GCCTTAAACACACAAAAAGAACACATAACCAAAGATTAAAGCAATCAGTATAAATCTTTAAGAAGCCGTGTGTATAGTGAAAGGCTACATAATAAGAAACGATGCCAGACAGGAGATACCTTCCTTTGAGTTATTGCCCAGGGTAGCCCAAGAGACTCCCAGATAGTAACCAAGCATAGAACTTGGAAAATGAGACAAAGCCTGAGAGGGTGGGTTCGGACCTCCATTGGTGTAGTGGCGCAGATCTCAGCAGACCACCAGAGACTGCCAAGTTCTGGAATCCCTCTGGTCTCCATCTAGCAGAGGGCCTGAGAACCCAGGGGACTGCCTGAGAGCCCTGAGATCCTGCCTCCATGTGGTGGTGAGCTTCCCCTAATTGCGCCATACCCAGCCCCCTACCTGGGGTTTTGCGAGGCCCTTCCCAAGGCACCAGGGCAGATCTGGCTTTGGTATGCAAAGGCTGAGATCCTAGCAGACAGCCTGAGAGGGTGGGTTCAGACTTCAATTGGTATAGCAGCTCAAATCCCAACAGACAGCCAGAGAGTGCTGGCCTCCCTCTGGCCATAGGGTTGTGAGGGTGCTATCTGGGAAGTGGGTGTAAAAATAAATAAATAAATTTTTTTAAAAAGTCTGATTTGTGTCCCCAAATATCTTTCATTGTGGGCCCATCCACTGGGCCCACCAAGAATCTCATCTCTGTAAGACACTGTCTTTCCCCCTCCTAGCAGTATTCAGTTACCAAACCTCTGCCTCCCAAGGCTCAGGGATCATTATGGAAGAGGAGGTGGAAAGATTGTACTAGCCAGAGGGGATGACCACAAGGAAATAGTCTTCCATACGGCTGGTCAGTTACTCATATGAACTCACAGGAATGGTACCAGCAAGTACAAGACCTATGCAACCTCAGACCAGATAAATTACCAGCATAGACATGGGGAAGTGGGTAAGAAATCACGACCCAACCATCTCAGACATTTTCTTCCCCCAAAGAATTCAGTCTCTCCTCCCTCTGTCTCTGCCTTGGCCTGTCTCTGTCTCTCTCTTTCTCCATCTCTCTGTCTCTCTTTCTCTTTGTCTCTCTGCATCTCTGTCTCTGTCTTTCTCTAATGGCACTTCTCTCCACTGTCCTCAAGGCTGGGTTAAATGCCCTTTTTCTTTTTTTTCTTTTCTACTTTCTTTTAAAAGTTTAATTGTCCACAATAGTAGGCTTCATCATGAAATTTTCAGATAGAGATATAGGTAAATAGTTAAGTTTGACAATCTTTACTACCCATTTGTACTCTTGTCCTTTTTCTAAGTGCCTAGCACATTTGTATAGAACTACTTCCACTAATTTATGGTTTGGCCTCTGTAACTAGAGTTTAATAAATTCAAAAGCAGGCAGAAATTTCATTTCAGTACACTAATCAAATTATACAATGTGTGGTACATAGTAAAAATTAAATAACTATTGGTCTAACTGAAATAAACTGAATATTGCTGAGCACCTCAAAGACATACATTTTTTAAAAAGACACCTTTGCAATAAAACAGATGTCACAAAGTCTATGGATCAAACACTTCAGCATGGAAAATATCTCTCAGAGCTTCAAATGGAATTATTTATTTTCATTTTGCAGCTTGGATTTGAAGATACATCCTTTGTAGAAATTAAAATACTGACCACTAATGGATAATACATTGGAAATTATAAAACAAGTCCTTAGGCTAACCCAATATTGAAAGAGGAGAAAAAAACTTTTAAAAACAAATACACAATGAAAAGAAAAAAAACTATAAGCTGCTTTGAAATGGTTATTATAATTTCCTGTGCCTCAATAATCCTTGATGAGTTTACACTATATAACACGTGAAAAAATACTACTGAACCCAAAGCTCAAGCAATGTTTTTCTTCTACTATTTTAAGAAGAATATACTTAATATTTTCTATTTCCATCCATGATGATTAAATTTGGAATATTTTACTTCTTTAGTTACACTATGTTAAACTGCACATTTTTTTTAACCAGTTAATGCAAGGTAAAATTAGGTTAGGGTAAAGAGAGACTGATAGAAACTTAAACTGCTTAAAGTTACTGCAATTTTATATTATTAAAACTTGAGAAGAGGAAGTATAAACAAACATGAAGTACATGTATGATCCCAAGGAAACATTCCAGTGTGAGCATGTAACTAATATAAAGTAGAATTATTCAATTTGTAGTAAAGATAATGTTCAGTGGGTGGTGAAAGGGCTCAGCAAGAAACACGTTTGCTCTCCAAGCCTGGCAACCTGAGTTTGATCCCTGGAACTCTCCTTTAAGGTGGAAGGAGAGAGCTGATTCCAAAAATAAGTCCTTTGACCTCCACAATTGCTGTGCATGCCAACCTCTGACACATGCATATCTCATGCACACACTCAAAAGTAAAAATAAAATATTGTTCAGTCAATGTTTATTCTGGTTATTCTGGATGAAAGAATTGCTAATATTATTGTAAGTAAAATAAACATTGCAGAAGTATTGGATATGGTGTCTATAAATATAAGATAAAATTGTATTAAGTGTTATTTTATCTTCTATATCTTAAGTTCTTTTCCATTGTGCCAATATACATAATTTTATCATTCCAAATAAATGTAATCTTTCAAATTTCAGAATTTTAAGATCCTGAATTTCAGGAAGACCTAGTTACAGATTTAAATATCATAAGCAACATTAACAGATGTATAGATTTAGCTTAATAAATATTGCTACCAGTAGTGTATATGGTTCAAGACTCCTTAGTTGCTAAAGTTAATATATAGTGCTAATGTAAAAATAAAAAATTTTAAAAATAAATATCTGTGCATGCTGTTACCATTGCTGTAAGTTCAAATGGGTAACTATCCAGTTGTCTGGAAAACTTTTTTTCCTTGTGGTCATCCACTACCTCTGCTTCTTACAATCTTTTCTCTCTAAAATAGTCCCTGAGGCTTGGGTTGGAGAAGTTTTGTATAGGTGTCCTATTCATGGATACACACTCCCGTCTCTTATTCTCTGAACTTTGTACAAAATTTTCTTTGAGTGCTAGGGATCCAACTCTGATCCTCATGCTTGTGTGGCAAGCACATTACTGACTGATTTATTCCTAACACCTCACAAAACCTCTTTTACCACGCACACACACACACACACACACACACACACACACATATATATATATATATATATATTTAAGTGGCACTAATATTCACAAAAAATAGGTAATGTCAAATGGAGCCCTATTCTTAAGTGTGTGTGTCTCATTTGTACTTTGTTGTAGCAAAATGTTTCTATAGAATCTAAAGTGTATCTCAGTAAGCTCATAAATACTAAAGTTTAAGATGA